AATACATGTTCACATATTTCATTCTATATTCAAATATATTTCAACTAATATTGATTAAATTTGAATGAAAAAAATAAAATAAAAAGTGGTATTAATTTACTATTATTATGGAACTATCTAAATTATTAGATTTTCAGTTTTCTTAAAAAATTCTTATACAGAAACTATATAAAATTTAATGTGGTATTTATTGTAGTAACATTGTTATTACCATAGACCTTATACTCATAGATGGTGCATGCAGGGTTGGCGAGGTTGGGTGGTGCGTTCACATCAATCCTCTTAGCAGTGTTGTAATTTCTGACGACATAAAATATGTTTATTTATTTATTTTATTATAATAATGTTATAACATAATTATTAGAGCTCGGGACTATGCATTTGCAAATTTCAAATTTGCAAAACATTTGTTCGGAAAGCAAATAGAATAAATCTGATTCATTATAAATTTGTTTTGCGATATGCAAACTTATTTCCAAATTTTTCCTATAAATGCATATTTTTTAAATTTTTACTGCATATTTTAAATAGGAATTTTTTAGATTATTTACATAATAAATTAAATCTTTATATGTATACAAATAATAAATAAACATTATTAATACATTTATGAAATTAAATTTTCTGTATAAGTATTTGGTTTTAAGGACAGCATTTAAACTAATGAAATTTAATGAAAAAAATCATTATAAATATATTATGCCTAACCAAAATAAAATAAGTTAACGATGATAAATTCTTTGATATTTTATTTTTAAATATATACAAATGTATACAAATTTATTTTACAACTTACAAGTGAACGTAATATAAATAATTATTGCACTAAAGTCAATGCATGTCTATTAGTTATATTAGCGTATTGACTGTTGATGTTTTAAATAATTATTATCAGTCGACAGTTATTATCATACAATACATTTTTAAAACACACACAACTTGAAATTCTACTGCAAATGTGCGTAGTTCACCAGGTCTTGTTGAGCAGCGCAGCCTTACAAGGCCACACGAACTACACCCTTGCTCCGTCTATTAGTATAAGATCTATGGTTATTACCTAATTTTACTATACAAAAACATAATATTAGTTTTCAGCGAAAACAATATTATTTTTACTGATGTCAATTTTATTTGAAAAATAATAAATTAAAATTAATAAAACGGACTTTATGGTATTTTAATACAAGTATTTAAATGTTGGTAAAAATACAATTAAAAAGTATTCAAAATACTTAAAAAATACTTTACAAGACTGACAGTAAGACTTGTAGCGGTAGGGGTAAGGGTAAGGTCCTCTCACACATATCTTATCTATTTCAAGTTTAATCCAATTGGCCATCCGTGTTTTCCGAATTACGAATTTATCTTTTTTCAATGTATGTGTTCACACTCATCCAATATGAGTCTAAGCTTTCTCCGATCAAAAATATATATCGTCAGTGATCGATTTTTCGTTCGTGTTCGGTCAATTTTTAACGGCACGATGTCGAATCGGATATGTATGAACACGTTCTGATTGTTTTATTCAGCATATTCCGAAATATATTATTTTAAACCCACCGTTTGTTGTCAATATTACTTTCATCATACAACACTGTCAAGCAGTAGCGTAGCAAACTATAAATAATATATAAGCAAACGATTAATTAATGACCCCCCAACCATATCAATTGACACTTTACTCATAGTTATACTCTCTTCCTAATTATTAAAATTTTTCAACAAAAAAATGTGTTTATTTACCATATATATATATATATATATATATATATATATAATATTATGTAGAGTATTATCAAGAGTAAATTATAGTCATTAAAACAACCGTTATGGCACATTGCGGTAGTTGGTTTTACCAATTACATTACTGGACACTACAATCTACGTTTACACTAGACATTAATACCTAGTAGTTATTCAATGTGACAGTGACTTAGTGTTAGCGTTCACTCTATACCATTTAAGGTTCATAAAAATTTGATTGCTGTCTTCCAGTGCATCTAACCATTTACCAATAAATGACCAAATCACATTCCACACGATTGAAAAATTACGTTAACGTATATACAGTGACCTAAATTATCTGTTTAGGACCGAAATGTATTGGTATTGCGATCAGTTTTCAAAATAATCACATCATTTTGAGGACGACGGAAACAGATTCGAAAGAGATGTACTCCTATAGTTAGTCCGTGTGACACTTTAAAACTATTTACAAGTGAAATAAGAAATTGCAGTTAAGTATAATAGTTAGAGCATAGTATAGTGGATAAGAGTATATGTCATATATTGTTTTATCAAAGTGAAAAGTGTACAAAGAGATGATTTGTGAATGTTTGAAATAGCAATATGAGAGTAACTAATATACAATACGGCGATGAGAAAAAAGTATGAAAGGTTTTCTCTCGAGACGACTATACGTTTTTATACATCTAGAGGTAAATGGAGGAGAAAGATTGGATACTACGCTAGAGCATAATTTGACAAAGTAGAACAGAGGACAAAGGGGAAAAGGCAAAATTGCATATAGACGAGGTCATAATAATTCGATACGAAAATTCACTAACCACGTGTTAATAAAATAAATATTAAGTGCCGAGCCATGGGGTTATGAGAAAATATCGTTTAGTTCGGAGGATGGAAAGAAAAGTATTAAACATGGGATTATAGGAGTATTACGGCCGAATTCGTTACAAAACGACAAACGGAAAGGAGTGCAAAAAAATTGATTGGTCGGCTTTGAAACGTGAAACGCGACTGTGAAAGTATGGGCTAACCGGTAGTAAATGAAATGTGAAAATCAAAAAGAAAATCTAGCCGTAGGATGATATTAACGTTATTATTTGTTATATGCCCAATATAAAAAATATCCGCATTCGTGTACCGAAATTGATTTTATCAAGTTCAAGGAGACACGACCGCGAGAGGAACTGTTAAAAACGATATACTGTTCAAGATTTAATGTAAGAAAACGTCGGCGGATGACATTAACGTGGGCAGATTTCCCGTACGCATTTACTGTTGTTTGGTCACGTAAAAACGGTGCACGGACTTTTTTTACGAGCATGTTGTCGGGACGGCGCGCAGGCGTATCAGTCTATCAGGATTTAATCGAAAGTAAACCCAAAAGTTCATAAGCGGTTAGCCAAGACGAGCTAACAGTTGTAGTACCTTAACACGCGGCCCGTAATAATTAATGACGGCGTGCGGCCGGGTAGAAAGTACGTGACGTATCACTGATACGAGGATAATGCACATGATCGAAGATTTACGCGAACACGGAGAGCTTACAACGGATCGGGGAATGAAAGGGCTGAGAGAGATAGAAAAAGGGATCGGAAATCGATCATAACAAGTATTATTATTACTAATTGTTATTTTCGTGGGCGCAATACTCGCGCGCGTAGCGGTGTGCATGATATGTGCGAGGCGTATGATGAATCGAGCCGAAATCGGTTTGACTCTCTATAAATAACCTAACCGCGAGCCGAGGATGGATTGAGAATTTGAAATTTATGGACGGTACGGAGTTCGCTTACAACATGCCCACCAGATTTTTCCGATCGGATACACACGAACACGTTCCCGTTCCGGGGTTCTGTCGAAATTAATATTGTTTTGGTTATCGTCGACGTTCGTCTAGGGTTATGTTTTTTCGTGCGAACTAATCACGAACGTTTAAAGTAGGGGCCGGCAACCTTTTGAACCACGCGGGCCATATTTTTTTTCAAATGTTTATCAAGGGCCACATTAAAAAAAAAAATTTACATATGATATATACTAATAATTGAATTGTTATTATATTTGATTATTTTACATAGAAATATGAGTGTAAAAAATTGGTTTTAAGAAAAAATTGAACTTTTTGATAAATTAGACATAATGACTTACCTTTATTTTCGACGAAAAAGTATAAATCAACCCAAGAATTATTAAAAAAAAACGATGTTCATAACAAATTTTTCTTTTTTTAGCCGCCATAATGTTTGGATTTACTTGTAAAATGAAACTATTACAAACGCAGTCACACGTACGGGCGTAATCACGGTGTAATACTAATTGCTACAAACGTAAAATAACTATAACCATAGATTCAATGTATTGGACACATATATATTAAATACATAGATTAAATATATTTAAAATTTTAATTTTTAAATATATATAAATATATTTAATTTATCCTATGACTGAGTAGTGCAGCCATCATTATCTTCGACTTCGATTAGATAATAATAACAATTTTATAGATTAAACTGACTATATAACCATATAGAATAAAGATCAACTATTAACGATTAAATAGATTTTATAAATAAAGAAAAAATAATTGAATAGTATTGAAAAATGTATGAAAAATTTTATTTAACAAAAATAAAACACTAAAAAAATAAAAAAAATAATAAATAAAATAAAATAATAAAATAATAAATAAATAAAATTAACCACCTTTATGCGGGCCATAAAAAATTGCTTCGTGGGCCACATGTGGCCCGTGGGCCGCGGGTTGCCGACCCCTGGTTTAAACGATAAAATGAAAAATAAAAACAACTTACCTACGGATTTTTAATAATAATATATAAACCATGATCAAGTTTCAAAGATTTCCAGACCGGCAACTCTGTAGCATACCTGGAAAGGTATTCGTTTTTCCGACATGGTTTAAAACACGCTTTTACGCGATGGATATTATTATTAAAGCGAATATAAGCGCGTACAATAAACACTTATTACGATGCAGAATGTAGTCTGTTTGATGTAAGCTACGTCAACCCCGTTGGTATTGTCGACGTTTCAAATTATATGGCTGTGGGTGGTATGGTTGCAGCGAGTGAAGAGAACAATATTATAATATTATTAACGTCTTGTATATGAACACATACGTGTTGTTTTTTGAAAAAATAATTTATTTTCTCCGTTTATAATAATGTAAATAAAACACATAACGTTACACGCTCGTTCATACATATATATATATATTAAAGAATAAATAAACAATATAAAATAAATGGTTTATTGGCTAAACTTAATAATAAAAAAAATACAGTAATTTGTGTAGTATACATTAAAATAAGATCACGCTGGGCTTAGTAAAATACTTGGTAACTCGGAGAATTTATAAATTCTAATGATCATGTACGTGATCGTGAGACGAATGATCGTGTACGTGGTCGTGATCCAAATGATGATGATGATGATCGTTATTAACCGGGGCGTGACTATGATGATGAGCTGAAAAAAAAGTACATGTTTCACTTATCAAATCGGATCGATGTATAAAGACAAAGACTTAAGCAATAATAATAATTATTATAATTTAAGTGTTAACCAATGTACAATAGTTTTATATTATATATTTATCAGTAGAGTTATAAGTCGAATACGTCATATTTATTAGCACTCGGCGATAGCTTTGATAATATAGTTATTGGTTAACCGTAATCGACTGTGACATATTAACTTATTTTCGTAACAAATTATAAGTATAGTACACACTACATCATCAAATACCAAAAAGGCACTGACTGATAAAAATAGCCGTTTTCACTTCGAGGTGTGCTTAGATTAGTGAACTCCAGTTTTAAAATATTATCACCTCTAAATTCTCAATATAGTAGTTTCACGATTTATTTCAATATCGTTTTGCTAAGCACATTTATAAATATTTTTGTTCGCCTCATAATTAACGGCTCTATAATAGTACGCACCCATAAGGCGATACATTGTTCTCATTGGTTTCAGAAATATACAGTTTTTTCCTCCCTAATTTACATTATTTTCGTTATAGTAATGATGTAAAAAAAATACTTCAGATTACTTCATGCTATTTATGATATACCCTAGGTTTGTTTGTTTGTTTTACTCGTTATTATCAATTTCGTTAATGAATGTGTCGAAAGTATAAAAATTAATATTTTCTCCGTTTAATGTGTATATTATAGTTCTAATAAATATTTTCATTTCTTACTTCGATTACGATGCATCGTGCTGCATTGATTTCTTATAGCAATATATCGGGTAAATTCCAAGGATAAGATAATATAGATAAGAATCGAGTTATAATATCGTATACATTGTACCAACAACCTCATATACGACAAAATAAGGAAACATTTTTAAAAAAAAAAGAACAAAAGAACAGAAGATTATTTACTGAACGATGCTTGTAACAATAATTTAACTTTGAAATGTTGTTAAAAATGAAAGGATCTTTGTTTCATTTTCGAAATTCATCTTTTAATAATGATTATTACGTTCTTGTTTTAATGATACTTATATATTATATTCCCTGAAAAGTACAAAATATGTAAAATACACACACTTACACTAAAAGATTAAAGAATGCACTATACGTTAATAAGCTCTTCAAAGATAGACTTACTCTACTATATATTTATTATACGTAGAGCAAAATATTCTAATTATATATTTTTAATGTTTTCATCGGTATTAATTTTCAATAATTGAGAATAAATCTAATTCATAATACATAATATAATGATACATATTAGTATCAGAAAAAAATCTATCTCATAGTGGATATCAAAATAAAAAATGCACGTGAAAAACCACCGCGGGTGTATTTGAGCAATAATCTGGTTCACAATAATTAAAATTCTTTGGGATAAAAAAAAAAACGCGTTAGTCATTTTTAAAGTGAAAACGTATAGTAAACAATCAAACAATGAAATTAGTCACAAATCAACAATCTTGAAAGGACTTTTGACCGTATTTATTAAAAAAATTAATTACGTTATTGTTCAACCGAGTTTCACTTAAAAATCAAAATGGAGCGACGAATTTATTAGTGATTAGAATGATATAATATATATAGTCGTATACAATGAATATAGTAACAATAATAACTTTGAATACGTCAATGCTATCGTCAAAGAAATATTCCTTCAAACTATAAATAATAATACAGTAGCATTGGACACATTTCTTATTCCCAGTATTCGTATTCTTTTGAAAATAATAACGACATGTGAGAACTCAAGAATTTGGTTGACAACATCACTATAAGTGCGTTAACATCGTATACCAAACTTATAATAATGTGTTCTTTCGAACGTTCGACATCAAACGATTTTTGAATTCATAGGTCTATCGTCACCGCGGAGTACAACAATTCCCTTAAAAAAATATTAAAACGCAATAATATTTATCGTTATGTCAGTTATTATTTTAAAACAATTTTGGAAATGAATTTTTTATCTTTTGGTCGACCCGTTTTTGCAGCAAATCGTTGTTTTCTACATATTTTACAAATACCGTTGTACAAATAAAATACATCGCAAGAAACTACATAAAGTGTGTTTACGCGTAGTTCTATTGAAGACCTGTGATTGAAAATTGTCAAATAGCTGCTATATTGTAGTTACTACTATCGAAACGTTAGTTCAACAGTCAAGACAAAAATCGACAGCACGCACACAGTAAGTTGTAGCTGCTCATTACTGTGTACACTAAATACATTTGTTAATTATATGCTTTTAAAATGTTAAATATTACGCCACTTATACTAATTAAAAAGAAAACGAAGAGAGGGGATTCATCGGTGTCTATCGAATTGTTCAAATCCCAACAGTAGTTTATAACGTATTACATAATTTATTTCAATATTTTATTATTATAATATTCAATATTTGTATGTGAAGTTTGATATTTATTAACCTTTGATATTAAACGTAATAATATGATACCGCAACGCGTTAGAATAAAATTACAACTTGTACAATAAAAGGATGAAGAACTCAAGACGTAGCATATTTAAAAACATTTTTATATCCGGGTTCAATATTTTAAAATAAATAAAATGTATTTACTTTTTATACAATCTGATATTCTGTTGTAAATAAAAAAACTTAAATGTATGTGAATTATCATATCTAGTTTGTCTGCAATATGGTTTTTTAATAACAATAACTACAATAACAATACATTTTCGAGGCTTTCAGTTATATAATAGTATTGAGCTATTATTACCAAACAAAATACGAACTTAATCGTGAAAATCGTACTACGTAGTTCATGCTTAATATAAATAATGAACGTATTTTGTAAAACACATTCGTTCGCAATATTATAATCTGAATTTAAAATTTAAATTAAAACTTAAGTACATATTGATATTGTTTTTGTTAAGATTATCTACTTATGTCTTGTATACATTGTGCAGTACAACATCCATCACATTGATTTTTAATTTTATAACAACTTGGTATTTTATTTTTTTCATTTTAATTCTAGTTTTTATCATAATTTCGGTTCTTAGACTTTTCAGAATTATTCAACTATAAAAATAGTGTGTACTATATTAACACATGTATTCAATCTCTTTTTATACAGGTTGAATCTTTGAAAACGAAATCACGTAACCCAGTGGGTAATCAGATAATTTTTTTATTTCTGGTCTTAGCTATTGCGTAACTACCTTTAAGATTTGGAGTATAATAAGCACCTAGCGATAGGTGGTCCAATTATACTGTGTATAGGTGCCTAATAAAGAAAAACTGATAATGGTTGTTGCAACTCACAAATTAGTTTAATATCTAATAAACGTGTATTGTACAACGAAAAAACTTTTATTAAAACGTTTATGCATACTTCATAGTGGTGCACTTAGGTTACTGTATTATGTTACGGTGTATAATAAAGTTGCATACTACGAAAATATCAAATGTTGAATGCGTTTGGCGGTCCATTCGGTACATTATTGTATAGGAAATCTTCATAGTAAATTATTTAGTTAAATGTATAAATCTTATGGTTTGAAATAAATAAATAAGATCAAATAAACAATCGATAAACAGTTGATTTTTCGTAGTCGTCGCAGATTATATGGATTAGATTGTGACAGATGATTTTGCTCAAAAAATATAACTAAAAATTAACTATTTACTTACATATAGTCATTACTAATTTATATTAATATATTTTCTAACAATTACTTCAGTAGAAATTAAACAGATGATCAGTAACTATATTATATTGATTACGTATTGCTATTGATATTCTTAAAATCAAAATGAATAATTTTAAAAATGTGACATACCACAGTTTAAAATTGAAATCAGGACCATAACGCAGTTTTAATACATGATAAGTTAATTGTTTAACAGTTTAAAATTACCCAATAGTTATATTAACTGTATACTTATGAACGATAATATATTATGACATCAGAACGTATAACCGTATAATCGTGTCTTTAGGATCAATAATTAGTGAATAAGTAACACAGGGACGTATTTAATTTTTTTTTTTTTTTTTTTTTTTTGGTGGTAGGGCTGGGAAATATTCTCTAAACAAAAATACGCAATTCAACCAATTGAAAAAGAATAATTAAAATTTCAGTAAACAATTAGAGTTGTGATTGTATAATCATAACTCTTTTTTACAAAATTAATAAAATAAAATGGAATAAAATACCTACATAATTATAGAAAATTAATATAACAGGAATGAAACAATTTAAATTCAATTTAAATTCCTCTCCCTGACACTGTTGGGTAAAAGCAAATTTAAAAAATTTTCTGACATTTCAGAGAAGGGGACGAGGCCGCTTCAGTCCCCCATAAGTACACCGCTGAAATAACAATAATAATAATATACAGAAACAGTAAAAAATAAATAAATATATATTGTATCGTTGTCATATCTGCGCCGTATGTAATCAACACATTCGCGTTGTATAAATATTTCAAGATTTAAATATTAGATAATGATCGACCGTTTCACCAGCCAGACAATGTATACGTTCGCGCACTGTTATCGAAATGACCTGTAAGTCATTGTAATGTCTATCGCGAGAAATGCATAATACTATACGCGCGTATTCGATCGACAACATCAATCAAAACCATTCGTTCCGTTCGCTCATGCGTTTAATATTATTTACTATACATTCTTTATTCGATTGCGTAACTTGAACATTAATAATAATAATAATTATAATTATACATGTGTGTGAGTGTGTGGTTACGTTTTAATAGTGAGCACACAAACGGAGCGCTACACAGTAATAATATTATAATTTAAGGTGCACGAATCGTTACAGCACGATGCGGATGAAAATTTGGTCTTTCTTTAATAATTTATCCCATTCAGTCGGTTCCGAGAGACCCATTGTAGGAAATAAATATGATAATAATTTTGAATCATGACGTTCGTCGAGTACACCGGGACACACCAGGAACTTGCACGCGACTTGATTGTATTATTGTTGG